GTGAAGACGAGGGGTGCATCAAGATCTGGAGGGTATTGTTGTCGTACAAGATTCGGGGCGGGTGGAGAGGAGGATTCGGGGAGGAGGACCGAAGATTCCTCGGCTCTCGATGTACTCGAGAAAAAGAGACACATGGTGGAAGGAAAGGGGGAGGGTCGGCGAGACTGTGTCCATTCGTGATCTCCCTGTCCGCCATCTTTTTCGTGCGAATTGCGCGCGCGTGTTTGCGTTCCTCCGGCCGCGTTATTTCTCCTCGAGCGGGCTCGTTCGTTCGATCAAAGCGGATCAGAGTTAATCTCGATGGAGAATCGAATTCATAGGCTCGCGCGACACGGATCTGTTGGTGTTCGCGTGCACTCAAGACCCGGCATTGTCAAGTTTCTCCAGTTACTTTGCACGAGGCACCGATAACTCGCGATCAAACCGCTGCTTAGCTCAACTTGGACACGTGTAATCCTGTTTACGAAGCACCCTTTGCGTTGGCAAGTTTTCCTCTTCGAAGATTCAACTTCAACATCTTTCATGTTCCTATGCTCACTTTTCAAATGATATACAAATATTTTTATATCAAAGTGTGCAGTTTAAATTTGTGTAGATTTATTATTGTTACCGAGATCGTGGATAGATTAGTCCAGTTGAATTATTGAGAGAAAGTTGAAGAGCTGACCGAGTTTCTTTCATCGCCTCTGATATTAACACATCGTGTTCCTGATCTTTATCGCTAGATCGTTCGTTAAGATATTCCGTATAATCAAATATAATATATAGTTATGAGCAGGTATTTCCGATGTGTTCTTAATTGCCGATTGGGTAATCCATGCTTGGAATGTTTACTATTGGGATTAATCAGATAACATGGATCTACAATATTAGACGCTCCGAAAGTTTTGAGAATAGCAAATCATTTAACTTAATTCGCATACTTGCATCACGGAATATATTGTAAATTCACTACCATGCGAAATAAAGACTCGAGCCACTTACATCTAAATTACAGGTTCGTACCGGTAAATTATTCCTCATTATCGACATCCAAGGAGTATCCGCTTACTCTTTACATCACGCGCTACTACTTCTCGCGTACCATACTTACCGTTTCCACGAACCTCTTCTACGAGTCAATTTCGACTTTATTTCTCAATTACACCAGTATTTTCCACGCGCGAGAGGGAAACGAGAGCTACCCGAAGAGCTCGCGCGTTTCACCCTTCGGAGGGGTTGATTTGCAAACGTCGAGCGTCACCGAATCGTCGACGAGCGTGGAACGTGTGTAGGGTTCTGGCAGGGGATGAGGAAGTGGAAGGTAACGGCGCGGCGTAGGAAAGAAAAGGGACGTATCAGGAGTCTTGGCGGAGGCCAAGGGATCGCAGGGTTTTCGCGGTGATGCTCGCTCCCGCGGGGGTGAAAGCGGCCTTTTAAAAGGTTCCGATGGGAAACCCAGCAGGGCGTGAATGGCTCCAGACTACTCGCTGGAGGAGCCGCAACGAGGAGAGGAAAGGTTGCTAGCTAGCACGACGAAACAGTGGTGGAAGAGAAAGAAACTGGTGCGTGCACGGGGACACACACGCAGAATCGCACGCGTGTTGTCACGGCCTCGAGGTGTTCCACCACACCTTCCTCTTCTCTTGCCTCTTTGTTCACGAAAGTTAGGTTTACCTCGTTCCATTCTCCAGCCTGCCTGCCTTCTTTTTATCCTCTATTTTTGCTCCACCTTTTCGTTCCAACGACCATGGGACTAACGAGTCTAGCTCAGGTGCAAATAGAGAAACAACGGTGAAAAGTGTTACGTTTTCTTTTTTTTTTTTCTTTTCGTTACAAATGTCTAAATTGAAAATTGAAAGCCAAAGAGAAAATGTATTTCTGGGAAATCTCCACGAAAGCGTAGAAAAAGATGAAGAAAAAGAAGAATTTCGCGATGGAGTCTGAACAACAGCTCGTTTATTAAGATAAATTAAAAGTCGCATACGAATGGTCGCGGAATGGAGAACGAAGAGGAAAGGTTCGGGCCGGAGGATGATCGGCTCGCGTCGTTCTCATCCAATTTCACGGCGGGACGCTATTTAAGTATCGGCCGACGATAAATTATCAAGGAAAATTTGTAGCCGCCGTCAACGGGCGTCGAAATATCTTACGACTATTTAGCGCGACGTGGAATCCCGTTTTTCGTAAACACGTCCACGCCTCAGTGAGAAGAGAAGAGAGGAGAGGAGAAAAAGAGATACGGGAAGATAGGTTATAAAAAAAATTTTAAAAAACAAACTGTCTGGCGACACGATTTCCTCCGTCGTTTCGCTTCCTTTTCTTTCCCTTCCATCATCGTGAAAACAAAGCAACGAAGGGAAAATCTATGCGTTCAAGAAAAATAATGTTTTTCTTGATCCTATTTATCACGGTTTCCCGTGGGCGGGCCCCGGCCCGTCCCCGATTTCGACACTCTCCTCTACGAATAGAAGAGACGGTACGTGCGCGAACCGTATCTTCTCTCCCTGTTTTCCTCGGATTCTCCCTTTATCAGCCCTCTCTCCTCTCTTCCCTTTCTCGCTCTCCGTCGTCCGTGAAGCTCCGTTCTCTCGAAATAACTACGAGCCCTCTGTCGTATTAATTACCGGGATTCATTTCATCCTCATTTACCGCCAGCTAATTTACCGAGGAGAAGCCTGCCGCGATATATGTATCTCGAGCAACCCCTTTGCTCGTGAATTCTAGCTATAAAAGCCTAGTTTTACGTTGCCCCGGATCAAACGGTAAAATAAGGCTGTCAGGAAAAATCCTGCTACGTATAGTTATTGCTGTTTGGTGATCTATACTCGATCAGGTTGGTTGGAAATCCGGGGTTAATTATTCAGAGGAAGTTTCACCTCTTTTTATTGCGTGCTCGTTAACACCGCGGTGGCATTTACGAGCAATATATGTAAAAATGATATGGTTATTCAAATGAAATGGAAGTTTCAGCGCAGTTAAAGTCGCGAATGCCGTAGTTGGTATCTCTGAAGGCGAGGCTAGTACTCGGGACGAAAGTTGCAAAGGGAGCTGCTTGCAACCAAGCTGTAACAGAGTTATTAACAGGGGATTATTATGTAAGGCGGTGCGTAATTAAAACCCATTGACATTTATTATCCCCCCGTTCATTCTCTTTCCAAGTATGTTTATTTATATGCCGTTATTATCGGTGCGTGCAACAGGTATCTACTACTATAATTGCCGTTGATAGACACATCGCTTTTTTTTCCGCATAACGATGCACGTTATTGAAATTATTAACTTTAATTAAGTGGCTACAGTGGCGTTAATGTCTCGTTCTCCTTGCTCGATATCAATCTCTTTCTTATAGACTCGAGTAGAATGCAAATTACAAACTTGTTCCATCTCGTAGACACGATGTTCGAGAATGACATTGGATCTGCATCTCGAACGAGATAAATGATCGATGATCAATAAACAATATTTTTTTTTATCTTCATTCGCTCGAAAAGTATGCGTGTACAGTTTCGATCAGTGCAGAACCGGCAATTGAACGTTTGATGTTTAACACGAAACACGTTATGAGGTTACACTGTAATACATACTTTGAAACGTGTCATTCATTTGCATCTATTTACCATTTTAGCGGGACGATAAGGCGGTAAAGTAATAGGTGATCCTTTGTTACATAAAACATGGAACGTTTTTTGTCCAGCTTGTAGCAATTATACGCGAAAACGTGTACGCGACAAGATATTTGTTATCGTGTTTTGACGTAGCCGTTTGGTGTTGGCGTGTTTCAAGTTCCTTGAATCGATAGCCCGCACGAATCTACCAGTATTTTGGCAACGAGAAACGAGACTAAACAGGAATTCCAAATTAAATTTAAAACATATTTTGACTCATCGAATATTCGGCTCACGCCATCGAAGAGTTAAACGGAAAAAGGCAAAGATATTTTTACCATGAGTAATCTGCGTCTATTTTAATTTATTACCGAATTCGAGTAAGTACTTTCGTCTACCTGCATACGAACGTTCGCCGGTAATTCGACTTACTCGATCGTCGATTCGACTGGTCGATAAATTTCCGTTTAATTTACCCAGCTAGTGTCGAAAGCCTCGAATGGTATTCGAGGTACTCTGGACGTCGTTACACGAAATTACGTGACGATTATTGCTATCGAATGTTCGCGATCGCGAGGGAACATCGATGCCGTGCGTAATTTCAAGCGGATATACGTTTTCTTATTCCTTTTCCCCTTTTCTTTTTCATTCGATCGTTACAGGTTCGTTTATATATTCTCGAACGGATTATAGTTTTATTAGCGTAGTCAGGGACGATCCTTTTAGGGAATTAATTGTCGAGTGTCATCTGTGGCTTAATAACGAGAGAGATACCGCTACCTCCTTCCCGATTATCGTCCATTAAAATAACATGAAATTGCTATCGAGTTATCGAGCACGCATATTTATAATCGGATCGTAGCGATAAGCGGGTATCACCTGCTTTCGAAATTACCGCCATTATCCCTTTCGGCGATAATTATTTTTATACATGATTTCCTAATTTAATCCTACCCTACGAACTTTCGTTTTCGTATCGATCAATATTTTTTTCAACGAAAATTAACCGAGACATAATGATGAATTACCGTTTAGATTTTAGTAAAGAAAACTATCTTGTTCTCACTTCTAAATATAATTCTTTAGATATATCTGATACGATTTTTGAAATCTGTTTTTCCTAATAATCACCCGATTCAATTTAGTTATCCGACTCATTTATCTTACTATTTGACGTAGCTACCACTTAAGATTTCAACAACATCTCAACTGGCTCTTATCTTGCTTTTTCGTCAAGAATACCGTTGTTCGATTCTTCTTCGAACCAGTGTTACACTTGGTTAACATCCATTCACAAAATCGTGAAAACTATAATCTCGTTTTTCAAATAAAACATTTTGAAAATATAACATAGCAATCAGCGTATCGATGAGGAATCTCTATTAATAACGTTGTAAAATTGAATGTTTTCAGCTGCTGGTGAGCGGCGGACAGCCAACGACGGCGACGTCGCCGGCGATGTCGTCGGGAGGTGCGTTGAGTCCTGGCGCACTCTCACCGTCGTCGACGGCGACGACGACGGGCGCCGCGGCGGCGGCTGCATCCGGAGGTGCTAGCACCCCGGTTGGCGGTGCCACGGGGCCTGGTTGCTGCGAGAACGGTAGGCCGATGATGACGGACCCGGTGACAGGGCAAACGGTGTGCAGTTGTCAGTACGACAGCGCCGCGAGGCTTGCCCTGGGTGCGTATCCAAGGTTAGCACCCACCGCGACCTCCTACTCTTCTTACCCTACGCCGACACCCTCCACCACCGACCAAGGGCCCTACCCCAGTATCGGCATGGACAGCTCTGCGTTCTACCCTCCTTTGGTGAGTCACTCCGTCTCTCTTTATTCGACCCAGTTCCTTTTTTTTTTCCGCATTTCACAGAAGGTCGGTTAATTGTTGAACGATAATTACGAGTAGGTTTTGCGTAACGCCGGATGAATAATTCATCGTCGTTGCGCATGGAAATAGCATCGCGCGCGTGCATTGTACGCAGCTCGAATCGTCGATGCCATTGTTACACCGGTAGATTACATGTTGCTGATAGAGATTCGGGGTATAGCGGCTTGGCAACAGTCGGCGAACAAATTTTCAAGTCCAGCTTTACGCAAGTACCGTGCGCGCTCGGTTTTCGGTTCGAGACGATAAATCAGCGAAATTACACATCCCACGAGCTAATCGGAAGACTTACGAGCCGGCTACGGGTATTTATAAACGCGATCATTAAACGGTTTATTAGCTCGAACTCGAACGGAGAAAGAGGTGTCCAGGAGCGACGTGCCACCGCGTCGACAAGAATTAGAATGGGTTTTGCAATACGCTTTGCTACCTTCAACTACAACGACGGCCATCCCGACGCGACGTCAGGATTGATCGGGCCGTCGAGCTAGGCGTGCCGGACGATTATTACTCCTGCCGGCTGAACTCAAGACGGATTAGCGCGCGGTCTTGCCACGAATTAGCTTGGAATTCCGGTGACGGAAGCCGGGCACGTCTCGAATCGGCCGTTGCTCGAACTCCTTAGCTCTGCTGAATCCATACGTCTCTCGCGTTTCTCTTTAGGCCCGTAGACTCTGTCGCCGTCTCCGTCGCCGGCTGCGTCGAATTATTCACGCGCGGCTGTCGAGAGCGGAGCGATAATCTCGTTTAAGTTTCGCTTCGCGGAAGACGCGTCGTCTCGCTACCTCTAACGAGGACTCAGTGATGGATTCGCGGTTATATTTCAGGGGGAATTTTGTTCGTTCGTTCGCTCGCCAGGGAGGCAGGGAATCTTGCGAAACACGCGTTTCTCGTGCAAAGACACCGGTTTATTCCGTCCTGGTGTTGCGCACGCGGAAAAAACGCGGCTAATAATAAGTCCTGGACAGAGAAGCGAACTGGGCGAACTGGGCGAACTGAACAGGGTAGGCGCGACTGTTGCATTCGCAAGATGCAATGCTTTCTTAATAGTCAGTCAACAGCGAATCAGGTTCGAATTCTGGGCAAAACCGTTGTTTTTCTTCAATTTCGAAATTTTATCAGAATTATTCGAGAGCGTGTTGCGTGAACAGATCAAGTGGTTGATGATCGCACGAAATTTTTCCGATCGTTCGCGTAAGAACAGCAATGACGTAGATGGACTCGAAACGGTTGGTAATCGCGAGCACGATGCCAATAGCCCCGATAAACGTAATTAACGTAGAAATAAACGACCGATCGTATCTCTGTTTCGGCCAATATATATCTCCGCTCGAGCGTGTGGATACTGGCTAGCAGGGAGGTAGAGAACGATAAAAAGATTGCTCGGAAAACACTCGTTTCGCCAGATGTTGCGAGTCGCTTGATACGACTTGCTTCGACGACCGGAGAGGAACGAGGAGGAAAAGAGAGCTGATAATTAAATTCTCCACTTATTTCTTCGCGACGTTTCGTTTTTGTCAGCTCGTAACTCGTTGCAAACGATCAGTGCATTAGGTCCAGTTAGAGGGAAAGATTAACGAGGAGCATCGTTTCCCAACAGGTATCTTTAGTAAAGTAAAAATATACTTGATTGCACGCTTTCGTATTTTCCAACAGAAACTACTTATTACTGCAATTAGCTGTCACACTTTTTCCAGAATACTTCATTGAATTCTGAATAGAATGAATATAATTAGTTGATCAGAGGACTATATATTACATTGAAATATTCGTAAGGGGTTGGGGTACGACCCAGTATTCATCCAAGGGTTAAATTTGATTTAATTGGTGTAATGATACTAATTGGTTCGTCCTGAACGAAATTGTAGATTAATTTATCTCGTACCCCGGCAACGATTCAAGACTGATATTGAATAACAGCGGACAAGTTTCAGGTAGAACCCGAATGGTTTCGAACGGACTGGATATTCAGCCTGGTTGTAACGAGTTCCTAGTTTAGAATGAAGTTAAACTGCTCGACGATTATGCCAGGGAATATTTGCAACCGAAGAACCAGTTTTATCCGCGTTGCCTTCGATGCGACTTAACCCTTTGCTGTCCATTTATTCTGAAGTTTAAATCCAATTTGCTAACTGATGCAACTTATTTTGTCTCGGTGTATCGAGCACTTGAGCGAAATGCTTTAAAGAATAAATCGATACAAAACTGTCAATCAGATTATCTTAGCAACAACATTTGAAATTTTCATGCCGTTCTAAGTGCCAATTAGATACTCTTTAACTTAAACGTCTGAGAAGTAGTAAAAGATAATCCACTGATTGAAAATTAGCCCGGATGTCGCGTACGACTAATTTCCCTTCGATTAATAAAATAAAATTATCATTGAAGTTGAATAAAAAGCACCAAGTGAATGGAGATAACGGTATACCACACTTGCCCCTCGTTTATATGAATTTCCACCCCGACGAGCGAGTAAATCGCTCGCAGCCTATCAGCGCGTGTCTTTCGATAACGACACGTCACTCTTCATTGGTCAGCATTATAGCAGTCTTTTCAAGTTCAACAAATGAACGAACCGGATGCAATCGTAGATAACGAACGATTTTATCCCCTTGCGGGTGAGTCAGTCAGTTTGCGACATTCAAATTTCTCTTTGTAAGTACTTTTCGAGCGGAGTATCGATTGCGCGACATTGATTTCTCGAGTAGTGCCTTATCATCGAGTCACCATCTCTAACGCGTTTGATAATATGTACACGGTTCACATTTTTTATTTTTTTCGAACCACCTTGTTTATCTACGTACTGTTGCAGATGGTCCGTTTGATCTTGCCGCGCGATCAGTTCAGCCTTGGATAGATAACAAATAGATACGATCGATGCTTCTTATCGCGACTCGCTGTCTCGGAAAATTGAAAACGATTCTTCACTTTCTCTCGAGTGATTCCCCGAAATAGACCTCCTTTTTATAGACGATAACGTTTCAGTTACCAAGGGTTGATATAAATCGTTTATCATTTGAAAAGCTTCTATTCACCGCGACAATTTAAAGAGTATCCTTCGCTTTCCATTTATATGAGTTAATTGAAATCGCAGCTCGGTTGACCGTCACGGTAATCAACTCGTTAACTGTATCATTCGGTTATCCAATAACCGCTCCGCTTCGTTAAATTGAAGCGAATTCCCTTTTCCACCCCAGTCGGGAGGAACGCGTAATCGTTGATTTTAACGGGTCTCGCGCGATTCCACGCCACCTCCGGCTATTATAAATGTCCCCGCGCTGGACATTAGCCTCGGTGTATCGGCCGGACAAATTAATTTAGATTGGCGTTTTATCGCCACCGGGGCGCACAGACGGAAGGAATGCAGATTTTAATGCCAGACGTAAATTTCTCTGCTATTTCGCAGTTCCCTTCGCGGGCTAACTGCTACGGCGTTAATGTTAATTGCTGTCGGAATATTTTGTGACACCCGGTGCGCGTATTATGTCAACGTTCCACGATAATGCCATTCATAAACCGGCCAACCTCGACCCGACGACGATTAGACGCGGCGGAACGTTATCGACCGCAGGCTTCAACGCGACGATGAAAAATCGCATTCCGCGCGATTCCTGCGTGCGGTCTGCTGCTCGCGTTCGTAGAAAACGGGTTCAAAGGAAAGAGGAAGCGGATGATTGGAAAGGAAACAGAGAGAAGCGATAGGTGCTCTCGTGCTGGCACAACCTACCTATAGAATCAATACTGGTTACCCTGTGTTTCACGCTTTCAACATTTTTTTTATCAAAAGAATTTATATTTTTAAATTGATAAATTGCAATAATTGCAAATCAGGTAACTCGCTCTTTCCTTTCAATTAGCATAATCAAACCGCCTATTGATTTTACATGAAAAGGTCTGACTGGTGTTAAGTATGATTAATGAAAAAATTAATTCCCGTTTCGATATTAACGTTTTAGGAATAATGATTGGTTCGCATGTCTCTCTGCGCCACTGTAGCGGCATTCCGATCCACGATATCGCGAAATGCGTTACTTTACGGCTCATTGATAAGCGTAACACACGTAGCTCTCTTAATCGCGGACGTTTACGCTCTTATAATTGGCAGTTACGCGCGGCTTGCATGCGATACAATGTGCCTACACGCTTCGGTTCAGAGCAACGCGCGGTGATCTTTATTTTCCAGCTGATCGTCATGCTCCTCGGCTTGGCGTAATGCTTGTTGCTCGCGTCGCTTAACATTCTGCATGTTAAGCGTATCGTAAACGGCCAAATAATTCAGTTGATCATGAAAATTAATCCTCTCGTACCCGTCAGAGTTTTGGTATTCATTACCTTTTTCGCATAAATTTTTATTTTCACGTAGAAGGAAATCGATGGTTATTTTAATTGAAAATTCTCTCTAGATATTCAAAGCGTGGATGTTAGCACAACCATATTGCGTAAATATTCCGGTGATGGTAGAAGTTGTACCCAGGGTATTTTATCAAGATGGTAGTTGGTGTTATTAGTCGGGCTTGACCGATTGACGCTCGAAGAATGCCATTTGTCGCGGGACGGTGCGTCGAACGTCATAGCTTTGCACCTTTATCGCAATAAATTGCAGCCGGCCTGCGACCTGACCGCTCGGCTCGGTCGTTCGTGGAATTTCAGCTTCGTCCTGCAATTTCGTGCACGCGACGATCGCTCAGCCTCCCGCTACAACCGAGCCTGGAATGTCATAAATGACCCGGGCAACCGGAATTTTCAGAATTTTCACCAACCTTTCCACCCTCCGCCCTTCTCCCAGCTACTTACCTTATCGACGTCCAGGCGAAAGATTTCTATGAAATATAGAAATTTTAGTCCGCCAGTTGTCGCGTGGTTCGGCAATCTTTATTGTTACGAATAATAAACGAATCCTCGAGCTATCTTTATCGTCATGGATAATAAACGAGCCTTTTACTCTTTGAATTATCCTTATCGTCGGGAATAATAAATAAATTTACGAGTACTCGAATTAGATCCGAGTCGTTGAATTATTCTTATCGTGAATAATAATAAATGAATCTTCAAGTCAATGAATTAGATCGGTAAGATTAATTCGTAATGCTCGGTGCGGTTGCAAGGCTATTTAATGATCGTGAAAAGCAGGTATTCCAATCGAGGTAATAAAGTTGCGTTATCGTGTGAAAATGGTTGTTGCTCGCGTTGCCTAACGCGTTAACTAATCTTATCTGAGAGGGTGAAGTTATTAGTAACATGTATCGAATACAATGTAATCTTATCAATGATAATAAACATATATATAATGCTGGTGTAAAAGGTTACATATGAAAATCACGAATACGTGACACTAATCATGAAATTGGTAATAAATATTTAGTTTCGTTTAATAGAAGCTTAGATATGGGGTTACATTAGAGCAACCATGCAGGTAAATAAAAGTTTAAGCAGGAAGCACATGCTACCAGCGCGAGGGATTCGAGCAGTAGGCCGTCGTTTCGACGAGCATTATAATATAATAAGATTCGTATTAGCATTGAATGAAGTGGGTGGTGCGAGAGCTGGCATCGATAAAAGAAGTAATAAAAATAGATCGTCTTTAAGGCGATCACGGTGGTCCTTTCTTCGAGGAAATAAATGAAAACGCGAGCATAGCTTACCGCGTCGAGGTTGCAAGGATACATAATTCCCCGGTTGATCGTGTCTCATCTCGCGAAATGGAACGGCTGTTTCGTGGCCGAGAATGGATCGCGTCGAAGCTTCTGAAAGCTGCTGTCCCACGCGGAAGCTCTCTACGGCTTCGTCATCGCCGCGAGTCGATACTCATTCCCCTCGCCCTTTGTCGACGTTAATTAAATTATCACAGAGCAACTGCTGGCTGAGGTTCGAACTTTTAACTTTGAAGGCCTCGCGTGACGGCCGCGCTCTGGTCCCCTCTTTATATTCGGCCAACTTTTCCTCCGGTTGTCTTTTGTCACTGTTTCCGAGTCCGAACTCCGGCCAACCCCGTTTAGACACCGGCCAACGCGGCGTATTGTCACTCGTTTCCAGAACTTTTCCACGTGCTCGAGTTTGCTAATTGGGTATACACGGGCTTCCACGAACTTTTCACGACTGCGACAAGAATTGATATTAATGGGATACGTAGTTTTTATAGATTTCTATTAAAATTGAACAAGGTTGCAATTTTTATTGGAAAATTGTCGAGCAATTTTGTCTATCTCGATTAGATCGGTAATTATTTCTTACTATCGTTCGTGCAGGATCACCGTCGCGACGGTTGAATCGTTCAGCGATGAAACGGAATAAACGGCGCATTTATTCGACCGCGAATCTGTCGTTAATCGAATTGATACGAAACAACCCCCGTGGTTTAGCAGTCTCGCGACTCGTCACGTATGTACATTCCGACTTGCGTGTTAGGGAGAGAGTCGTGCACGATTCCAGCTGATACACGTCCTCGCGCGTGCACGTGCTCGCTGATAATCAGTTCGCGACATCGTTTCTCGTTTAAAAGGATGAGACGCGTGTCGTGACCGTGGACTGACTGGCTACAAAGAGATCGATCTGTAACTTTCGCAAATTCGAATCTGTAATTTTAACACGCGACGATCCTGAGCGCGTGTCTGTCTACCCCTGACATATCATGGCAACAGGATCGAATGGGTTAATGCAGAGTGGCTCGTATAATCGTCTGCTAACCGAGCTGCTTTCGCAACAATAGTCCAAAGGCGCTGGACCACCCGCGATTCGCCATTAAATTCACCTCCGTTGGAAAGGGTAGAGACTAAGGGAGAGACGCGTTGAGGAAACGGGATAAATATGCGTCCTCTCTGCTTGTTTCTCGCTCCCTTCGGTAAAAAGGGGAGAGAAAAAAAAAAAAGAATGGCAGAGAGGAGAAAACAGTGGGCCACGAGGGTACCCGCGGTAGCGGATTTGGAAATCGAAACGAGGGGATGGGCCCGCAGGGAATTAAAGAGTCGACCTTTCTGCCGATCTTTCTGTAACGCGAAACTTCCTGGCGCCAAACACCTCTAAGCTTTCGTTCTAATAATATCCCATTGTGCTACCATTAGCCACCGAGTTTCTCTTCCTCCCTTTTCTCTCCTCGCTTTCTTAACGGGTTCTGTCTCTCTTCCACTTCGGGACTTCTATACATATATTCTGCTCTCGTACGCTTCGCAACGACACCTCGAAACATCGACTCGTTCGCGTCGGCGTGCAAGCGTATCCGGTCGAGACAGCATTGCACCGTCTGCTCGCTTTGCCTCGTTAAACTCGCAACTTTTTGCCTCTTCTCTTTCTCCGAAGGAGAAATTCGCGATTTCGCGACGATAACCTTGCCGTTGGTGTTCTGCAGCTTCGTTACGCTCGAACGAGTTTTGCATTTCGACGCGGGATCGTGGGTGGTGCCCGATTAACGGATCGTCAGTCACTCGACGATGGATTGACCGATCCCGTTGGCTGCCGGCGTGACCTCGTTGCGTTCGGACCGGCGCGAAATCGCCGCTTAAGATGATGGATCGATTTTAATTCGATTGAAACATTTGCATAAATTGCGTCACGCTCGAGCGTGGGCGGCACGATTTGGAAACCGCGACAGAGGTGATGGTCAGCTTTGATTCGAGAATTTTATTGCTAAATCGATGAGGAAATAATGTAAAATCATGGCTGCGTTAGAAACGACCGTATTACACCCTTCTGAATGTAATCAATTATACGATTCCGTTGCAGGGAAATCCGTACGGATTGAAGGACACGACGGGGATGGGCATGACGGCGGATATGGGTGCTGCATGGGGCACGGCCGCCCTTCAGCCTGCCACCACGGGTTACTACCCCTACGATCCAACCCTGGCCGCCTACGGGTAAGTTTATCACCAGGTTTCATGGTCTCTCGGCTCCATTAGATTAAACCACCACCCCCGCTACCTTCTCCCTCCACTTTGGCGCACGGTACTCGATGCTCGGTGCTCGGTGCCGCCATTAAAACAAGAGTCACGATCTTTCGTACTCGCTACACGTATCCAGCCAGCAATGGTTATCGTTATCGCGAATCCGTAATATCTTTCCCTCCACCCAATCGAAGAACCGCGTTAGTTTTAACCGCCTCGTTGAAGCTTATACGAAGTGGACGATTGCCCTTTTACCTTTACGATACCTTTAATTTTCAGCTCGTTCTCGGAGCGAAAATTAAAAAAATATTTGATGCGGTTTTGAATGCACAAAAAGCGTGTCACTCCCATTTTCAAAGGGTTCAAAGTGTATTTACAAGTCGACGCATGCTCGACCGAAGGTAGGCGACAATTAATCCGTAAGAAGGGTGACGAGCAAACCGGATGCTCGTTCTTCCTGCTCGTGGATAAGAGTTACGAGGGTGCTGTCAACACTAGGACCCTTGTACTTCATCTTGTAGGGAAGCGAGCAGAGGAATATCGATGGGCGAGAAGAGGTCGTCACTTAGAAACGACACTCGCTTCTCTTCCCGCAAACATTCTGTGTATCAGCGTAAGTGATTCCTCAGCCAGCTTGCCCGCGCTTACTTTTAACGGTGTGTATTTTCGTTACGGATACGTGTTTTGATTAATAATGGCGGACGAAATACCGACGGGGCTGGATTTACGACGGAAATTTATTTTGGTAGCGCAGCATGCTCGACGCGTTGTTGCATCGCGATACACACCGGCGATATATCAAAATCTGTCAGAACGGTAGAACGATTATTTATCGGGCTTGAATTAAAATTGAAAATGTTGTCGAGCGTCGTATAAGGAACATCATCGGTGGACGAGTTTTATTGGAAAATCTTATAGAATTTTTACGGCAACGTGGAAATGTAAAGTCACATAGGGAGTCGCAGGAGCTAGTTTCGTGGGAAATGGGGTTATTTTCGAAAACCATGTGTCGCGTGCCGTTGACAAAATGAGACATTGACATAGATTTCGACGCTAGGCGTAATTGGAAACACTTGGCTTCCACTGGCCCTCGATTTTTCCCCGTTGCTCGTAAATCTTAATCACCCTTCCGTTATTTTTTTCCAAAAATTTTTTTCTTTCTTTTCTCCAACTCCTTTTCCCGAGATGAGTTCAATGTTACAATTTTCGTGTTCCACGTTTCAAGTGTGCGACGTTTTGGAAAGTAACGTAACAATTAGGAGCGAACGAACGGACAGGTCTAGTCGGTCCGGAGCGATAGAAATCGCCAAGGAGGATCCAATATCGAGCTTCGATCTTCCTTTTCTCTTTCTCTCTTGAACTCTCGCGATGCGACCGTTCCGATTCCTTTGATCTCACCGGTTTCTCGTGATCGTCGAGGGAAACGGTGGGTGTCTCGGTTCTTCTCGGTTCTTTTCGGTTCTTTTGCGGGGGATGAGGACACCAGCGAGATTTCAGAGGAAACGGTGCACGACGAACGGTTACAAAATGGCTGTAGGCAACCGAGTGGGCGTACGTAATGGAGGCTTCCAGGTTGCCTGTGTGTATGTAGTCGGATCGCGAGCGTAGGGAGAGCAGTAGGTCTCTCTCCGTAGGAGAGCGAGTGAGTGAGTTTATTGATTGGCTTCCTCCCGGGGTTGGCTCGCCTGTTCGTTCGCCAGGCCTCTCTATTCTCTTCCTCTCTCTCTCTCTCCAACGAATTCCAGTCTATCTCTTTCTCGCAAATTCTACCTCGGTTACACCTCTCCTTGTCTCTTCCTCACCGCTATATACACGCTCGTTTCTCTCCTCTTCTCTCCTCTCCCACTCGTTCTTCTTCCACCTCTAACGCCGCCGACCTCCTTCCACCCTCGAAAGCGAGCCAGCTCCCACAGGTGCTTTACTTACTTTGCTTAGCAACCCTCGTGTCCACACACAAACACGCTCGCTCTCCTTCGTGGGTTCACACGCGTGCGTACCTTCCCTGTCGCTCGTTTCGTTCTCTTTTCAATAGATAAGTTTCTACCACTTTTTCTTTCATGAATATCAAACTGAAACATTGATAAAATTAGATACTGATTTTCTATTTGTACAATTTAATAATCTGTAAAATGGTATAAACATCATCTCCTGAAAGAGAACCCTGTTGAAAAGGGAGGCTCGTGTGTGAGGCACAAAACTCTGAACCGTAGGCATTGTTTATCGTGGAATATATCCACCCTCTCCAACTCTGTCGGTTCTCCTTCCCTGTTCCACGCGGAGCCTCTATTAATTTACTTGCTTAATAATACGACAGCCCTCTTCGCTCGAGAGGAGCCATCCTCTCTCTCTCTCTCTCTCGTTCTCTGTATTTGTCCCCTGTATTCTGCTTCCTCTCTTCTAGCGCTCGCTTCGCGAGGCTACCCTCTCGCCACTTTCCTCGTCGACGGACCGTTGCTATTGTTTCAACGACGCCCTCGAACTTGCGGACTCTCTGCTCGGCATGGGGCTTGAATCGGGGTTATAAACTGAAGCGGCTCGATTGGGGACGGACCGACGAGAGCATTCTGATTACGGGAAATGAGAAATACGTCGTTTGCCGGCTCGAAATACCGAAAGATCCCTGCGGAAATCGTTGCAGCTGCATCTGTTCTTTTTTCTGTTTCGCGACACTGAATTTTTCAACTGTGCATTTGTACTTGGATTAAATACGTTTACAGGATGCGATACCTTGATTGATCAATTTATCTACTAAAATGTAGTATAAATAAAAATAGCGCGATTCATCCCCCGAGCGTTCCGTCGCTGAATAGTTGCCAGTAAATCGAGTGAAAGCGGGCGCAGATGCGGACAACGTAGAAATCTTCCCCGAAGCTTTTCCCCATTCGCGAACGCCATTTTTCACGAAGATCCCAGCGACGCTACCACCCTCCCGCGTCCCATCCCGTCTCCGCTTCGTTCTGCTCGTTTTTCAGCTCCGCCACGGTTCCGCAGTATCATCCCGGTGTTGAATAAAAAATCACTGTGAAACGGTGTCTCTCCGGTTCGATCGAGAAATTCCTAAGGAAAAAGTAACATCGGTATGTCGGCGTTCTTTCGTCTCGTTGGTATTTACGTTAAGCGAAGTTAATTGCATCACAGTCGCTTTTCCCTCGTTTCGAACTGGAACGGTGAAAATCATCTTTAGCGCAGTCGATCGGCTCGCAATTAAAACGCTCGCCTCGTTAAACGATGAAATCGCGTTTGAAACTTCGAACGGTTATAAACGCTCGAGCTAACTCAATTCTGACCCGATCCGGAGATACCGCTTTTTCCTACTCCCCGTTAGATACAGACGTCTGCTATGGGGATAGGAGAGACAAACCCGCGATCCATGGAGCTTTTTCCATTGGATCGAGCCGGGACCGGTTGCCGATGCCCGATTTTTCTCTGTCCGTCGTGTAGGTCGCGATTGGTTTGGACAAGAAAAATCTCGCGTATCTGCGAACTCTATAATCGGCGAGGACCGCTCTCGCCGTTTCTCGACGAGGAAAAACCGGCGCGCCGAGTCTCGACCTTTCTCGCTTAACGGACCTCTCGCCCGTTCCTCGCTCGAACGAAGGTTATTTTATTTTCTCCCTGTGATCGCTCGGAACACGTGTCACCGCGGAAATTATGTGTATCGATCGTCGAACGGGCTGGAATAAATTCGAATCGACGTACACTTTCGCTTTTTCGAGAAAGGGATTTTGATACTCTGACAATTTCTATGTTTCTTTTAAATGCCGGCGTTAATGATCCTCGCGAGACTTTCACCGATGATTACGTGGTTTTGTTATTTATAGAGCTCAGGATACCTGCTTCGGTGGAAGTATCATTATAACATTAAGTAGACTTGTTCAACCCTTAAAATCTTGGGGAAGCGTGCGCGACGGAAAGGAAAGCGTGGAACAATGGGGAAAAAAATAGGGATAGAATGAAAATAGAAGAGAAGAAGGAGAATCGGTTCGGATTAGATAAGAGGTGGCGAAGGTTGTCGTGGAGTGCAGAAGCGGTATTACACGCAGGGGGCGGGTCAGTTGGATGCAGTGCGCGGAGCAGACGCGGCGGTAGGTTGCGTGGTGCAAGGTAGGTTGGCTGGCTGGTTGGTTGGTTGGTAGGTTGGTTGGTAGGTAGGAAGGAAACGTTTGCACATCCGGGACCGGGCGTAACTATCGAAGCTGCTATATACCCGTACACGGCTATACCAGGCAGGAGGACGTAATTACGCGCGTTCTGCCAATATTGGTTAACCTTTCGAGGTTGACGCCACCATATGCAAAGCCCCTAATGAGTCGCTCGAGTGGCCCCGGTGTCTAGTATTACGCGCTCATCTCTGCCCCCGCATCGCGTCGTTATTACCTACTGAAGGTATTCCACGATATCCTCTCTTTTCCACCGTTTACCACCCTCTTGCTATGCACGCTACCATCAACGCGCACCTCGGTGCACCCTCTCCCTCGTCGTCTGCTCGATCTCGTGTGCCGCGTTTCGAAATTTGCCTACATTTTCGTCCTTGCTGGCCTGCCTCTCTCTTTCTCTCTGGACCATTGCCGAAAATCGTCAGAAGGCGAATATTGGCTCGGTCGATTCGTTAGACTCCACCCTTTCATCGTGGGAGATTTCAACGCGAAGCGGACACTATGTATGTTTAATTTAATTAACAGCTGTGCTGGTCATTCTTTGGATGAACATAGAAATTTTCTAGTTAAACTAGACGGCAAATGTACTGGATGTAATCGAATATCTGTGAAGCATACGCAAGGATATTTCAACCAGTTACGTCTGAAATCGAAATCGTAACCGATAACGATAAATAGTAGACGAGTGCATTGGCGAACTCGATTTCGATGGATCGACGAGTGCAATCACGAGCAGGATAACCCACGCAGCCCGGATTCTTCGCGCTCTTCTCGACGGTAGAACGATAAGAGCAGTGTCGGGGAGTTTTACGTACGGTCAGATGGTGACGAGCTTCTGCTCGTTCATTGTCGCATCTGCATTGCATCGAGCACGACTAGCGTGGACGATCGCGTCGATAGCTACATCCCGTAACGATTCTCCGTTGGCACGCAACGCCACGCTTCGTATGTAAATCGGCGGGTATCAATGTGTCTCTACCACTGTGTGCGTTTCTCTGTTTGTGTGTGGATAATTGCGCGGCAACGGCGTAGTCCCGTCGCGTGGGTGGCAGTCGAAATTGCGCATATCAATGAAGGGGTCTCGGGCGTCGATTAAATCTAGAGAGGCAACGGCCGCTGTCAATTTCTAACTTCCTCCCGGACAGCTTATTCGCGGAACGAGTCGTCACGTTTTCAACGACGCTCGCAACTTTCCACCAACTGTCGCCGTTCGACGTGATTTTCGGACAAAGCCCACTCGAATTTTAGTGCGTCGTTCACAGGGACAGTTTCGACGAGTTCACATGCAAACGAAACTTTATCCCTCGTTGCTTAACTTTTCTATCGTTATCTTCGCTTTAGACGTTCGCGAGTAGTTTAATCTAACGTTTGAAAAATTAGCTTTCCTTTAATAAGTAATTAGGAAAGTGTGTCGCATAGCACACAAAGTCCTCGGTTCCTTTTGTATCCACTTCTACATCGTCCTTCGACATCGGCTTCCCTTCAAAAAAGGTTCTACCGGTCCATTTTCTTTACGTTGTTAGCCGAGTAATCTCCTACGATCTCGATCGATTGGACGGTTTTCAAAGTTCCATGGTAAAAAAAAAGAGAAGAGTGATCGAGGGATAGGTGAAGAAAGGAAAGAGAAAAGGTACAACCGAAAAAAGCGGCTGATTTTATAGAGGAGGTACGGCGGCCGCCTTTCCCTTGTCAGAGGGAGTTTAATAGAGGGTGAAACGTCCTCGAACTTCCACGAGTCCGTTTCCTGCGGATCGCTGGCTTCTTCATCCCCATCGAGTCGCGGTCATCAGCAACGTCTTCGATGTGGATCGCGGTAACGATGTTGAAATAGGGGTTGGACTTTCCCCAAAAGGGAATTATCCAATCTTCTAGGGAAAAGCCAGTCATTTGCTTTTCACACGATTTATCTCGATTTTCTTCTTTTTTTCGATTTATTTTCATCTCCGTTTTTGAACGTAATTAATCCGACGTTGATTTAATTTTTTAATAGTTTATTGAAAGTTTATCAATAAAAGAATCAGAATGTTGTTGCAGGCAGGTGAATTTCGAGGTGGAAATTGACCGGCAGTATGGAGAGGGTAACGCGGGCTATATTTTCGGGGATACCGTCGGTCGTTCGGGCGGCGAAAGGCCGAGATTAGATCGCGTCTAAACTTATAACCCCAGACGGAAGATTTCATCGGACCATTTGTTGCTTTCGCCCGAACAGAATCGAGCCGATAGCCGCGATCGTAAAACGCGATTTAGACCCGGGAAAACGTCTCCATTCGAATAAACTCGCGTCCGCGTAAAAAGGATCTTTGATGATCTCGTCTGGCGAGGACGTAAAACACGATAGATTCCCGTTCAAAAGGTGAGCCGGTTGTAAAATTTTCGTCGGTACCGAACGTCTCCTCGGACGTTTATTTATCGCGGCTACGAATGCCAAATTACCATTCGTTCTTTATCAATTTACGATTCGCGATAAAACGAGCGTGAAACGTTCGCTTTGTTCGGATGCAACGTGTTGAAATAACGTTGTTGATTTACTCTTTGGATATTCGTTATCGCCTGTAACGTTGTTCGTGGATGTCTTCCAATTTCGTTCGAATCAACTTGAAGGTATTCCGTGTGAAAATAATAAAAGATCTGAAAGGGTTAATCGTTAGCCTCTGTTTTCGCGCAACCCTCTCGACGGTGATTCGAGCAAGCCCCTTGTCAGGCGGCGTCACGCTTCGAATACAATGTCGTTGGTAACCACCGCCTCGAACATAGCTGCCACCCTTCCACGGCCGATGGATCGTCGATAGGTATTTTAGGCTACAGTATATAATGGTACATACCTATAACAGCGTCGCGTGGGGCTGTGCCGGAGGGGAGGACACGGGACGAGACAGGGGAGCGAGAAAGAGGAGGAAGAAAGAGACACAGAGGGGTTCGAGTGAGACAGCAGAGAAGAGAGAGAGAGGGGATCGATCGAATCGCCATTACGGCGAGTGAGTGCCGGGGTTACTCGATGGAATCACGCCGCCGCTGGGGGTTTATTCTCCGTATATATTTGCCGGAGTATCACCCTCGACCCAGTAGGATGTCGCACCCCTATACCACGGAGGGTTCGATGCTCTGGCAAAGGAGAGAGAGCAGAGGAAAGGGAGGAATAGATCTAGGAAGGCTGCCGGCTCTCGTGTGGAGCACTTCGGACTTGCCAAAATCTGCGGGGAATTCGCACCCCTCGACACGATGCCACTTTTCGAGTGGAGTGGAGTGGCTCGCCTCGACAAATGTTGAACAATGCTTACGTTTTTCCTGCTCGGATCGTCCGTTTTCCATTAGACGTCACGAGTATTTTTGTTAATTTTTAATAGAGTGCCACTGATTGCCATTAGCGATCGACGTCACCAAATTAATTTGATTAAATGATTGAAAGAGAGGTCAGAAAAGAGGATTTTAGATACCATGAATATTTTATTAAGTAAATTGCACAGTTTACTCACTAGTAAATTGGATAACCAAAGAATTGAATTGTCGTATCCTTCGTATCTTATCTACTAGAAGTCTGTTAATAAACATCATTGATTATCGAGCGTTGCGGTGAAATATTTTTGTTAATTTCAGCTGATTCATACGGTGAAACGATACCATGTTACAGATACGGCGCCGGATATGACCTGGCCGCGCGGCGGAAGAACGCGACGAGGGAGTCGACGGCTACCTTGAAGGCATGGTTGAACGAGCACAAGAAGAATCCTTACCCTACCAAGGGCGAGAAGATCATGTTAGCGATCATCACGAAGATGACGTTGACGCAAGTGTCCACTTGGTTCGCGAACGCGCGAAGACGCTTGAAGAAGGAGAACAAGATGACCTGGGAGCCGAAGAACAAGACCGACGACGACGATGACGCGGTTCTCACGGATTCGGAGGATAACAAGGAGAAGGACGATTTGACAGGGGACAATCAAGGTGACAGGGTTGGAGAGGAAGCGAGGAGGGGTCTCGAGGAAAACGGTGAGTTAATTTTTTCCTTTCCGATATTATTTCCATTCGTGTTCCTACGAGAATGCGAATTCCTGCAATTTTTTCCTCCGTGAATCAGAGTCGAGCAAGACATTTTTCTGTCTTACCACGCGCGTACATCTTCCCTCTTCGAAACAATACACGGTTTTCACGTGGTACACGAACGAGTCAGAACTTTGTTTGCTCGTGTTTCACGTGCCTCGGCAAGTTTACTTGATAACCAGGCATGCGTGTTACGGCACGAAACGGGAAATGCAATTGTCTATGCGCTCGTGTGTCGTCTGTATACGTCTTCGGTGGCGAAAGAATGCATCGGGATAACCGGTTGGAATCGCGGAAGAATGGCCGCCATTAGGGGCCAATTATCGATATTTCAATGCGAAAGCCGCGTGCAATACCGACGCGACGCGACGGCGGGTTAACCGAGAGTCTTAGTAGAGAGGGTGAACTCGAGCCACGATACCGTGCCTGATCTGTTCGACTCGGAATGCCGGTAGCGTGTACCGGTTCGCGTGACTAGTTTCCTCGATATCGAGTACCCATCGGTCGGCGTTTCTGATATTGCACAAGCATCCATTCCACAATAAGCCGAACCGTACGACCTCACCCTACATGGATCGCCAACTACTCGAGCTGATCGGTCGCCAGATCTCCGCCAAACGAGAACACCTTCCATCGAAACCTTTATTCTGTCCATAGATTCGTAAAAATCTATACTTGCGCTAATAGCTTTCAACCAATTTGCCTTTTTGTCAAAATAATCTGAAGACCTCGTCGCCGAATTCACAACTCCCATAAACGTAACCTCGCGACTCTACTCTAAACATCTAGTAAATTCAATGTACAAAGTGAAATTTCTCGGCAGCTTCGCGTAAATCGGTCGCAACCCCGGCGCGCAGCAGCCATCGGTCTGGCCGATAGGCTACTACTTATTCAGGCATTTTGCCCAACGGCCGGAAACGGTGAGTTAGAAATTCGCTGCGAAACCGGCCGTGTGTCGGGCTCTATATCGCGGAGGCGGACATAATGGTTCACATGTGGGTAAACACAGTGACGGGTTGCGGGTTGCCGCGCAAAGAGATTAATGGCCTTCGGTTTGGTCCCCCGGTGGACCGGGTCGGTTGTTCCTCGGTATTGGTACGGTCGTGGCCGAGCTCACGCACACTGCTGCGCTGGTGCACGCGTGCTTTCACCATAGGGTGTGTGTAAAGGTGCGTATTCACCGGCCAACAGTTAAGGAACACGGTTAATAAACGCTTTACAACTCCGAGCAATCTTTTCATCAGCATCGCTCTTGATTCGCTCGAATTTTAATGAAAACTTTTCGGATAATTAGAAATCGAGAACAAGAAGATAGGTGTTCCGTTAAGATTTTGCAAACGTCAGTGGAGAGGCACCTTAACGGTGGCTGGGTGGTGCGCGCGCGTTCCGACGCTCGTCTCCCTAAGCGTGTGTCTCTGTGGGTGAGAGGCGGAGGGTGCGCCCGGGCTGAGTAGCCATCCGTAGGACCATATACACTTCGTGCCACGGGCTCCATATATATACATGTACATGTATATACTCGTTGTGGATGTATATAGATACAGTGGAGAGAGTGGTGGTTCGAGGCACGGTGATGTATCGGCGCCCGCGGCGAGACGAATGGTACAGACCCTCCTATGGCCACCATTACCCCACCGCACATTGGCCAATATCGCTCCTCTCGTTCCCTCTCGCCCTTCTCTTCCTCCTCTATCCGTGTTGCCCTCCGCCACTCTCTTGGCCGAGTTCCTTCGATTCTCGGGGACATTTAGGTGTTGCGTCGAGAGCTGCGTCACGCGCGTCGTAATTTTAAAGGACAGCCTCGGAAATAAGCCCTTCGAAAATCCGGCCAATGCCTGTAGGAAACCGATTTGTTTTCTATTCCCGGCCGACGCGCCGGTGTTCCTTCGAGGCCCGCACACGCACACGGTGATTTGTGATCGCGTATGAATATCCGAATATTCGGCCCTATTGGCAGAGAAAAGAGTTATAGGAGTTTGTTAACTCACGAGACACGCGCAAGAGGATTGCTACGATCCACTCTGTTGCGTGGTAGACTTACAAGTGGACCACTCGATTTTTTTCTGTCAACAGTAAGGGTGAACGCGTGTATCATTGAAGAAGAATAGAGATTTGAAAATTGAATAGCCGCAATTGGTTGCGTTCGAGATACGGAAGAGGACGGCGCGAAGATTATGAGATTAACGTCTGATAAAAGGGGTCAAAAGTTAAAGAGCCACTTGTGGACTCGACGGTGGTATCTATTTAGTTGGCCCATAAGGTTCCCTTTTATAAGGGGGCGTACGCACCCTAAACCTAAACTCTCTGTTTCATTGTATCTCTTTCCGTTTCACCCTTCGCCCGTCTATTCGAGCGGTTCTCCTTCCCTCTGAACGGGCTACCGGCCCCTCGCTAGCTTGCGAATTATCGCTTGACGACCCATCAAGTAAACCCTCTGCCGACTCATTCGAACCTCTTAATGAAATTCTCACCCCTGACTGACTGGCTGGCTGGCTTGGCTCGATGGTTGGTTGGCTGGCTGGCTGGCTAGCTGGCAGACGCTTGGGACGATCCTAGAGTGCCCCGAGAGAGTTGAAACAGAGACAGAGAGTAATAGGGAAAGAGAAAAAGAGCGAGGAAGCGGAGATAGAAGGAAAGGGAAAAAGATACAGCTTTTCCGTTCTCCCTTTCTGGCTCTCTGCCTCGAGGGGAAACTAAAATCTCTCGCGCCTCAAAGTGGTTGAAGGCTTCGCTCCCTTTTTTTTTCACAGCATCCCTTACAGCTTAACCGTATAAGGGGTGCAAGCGGAGACTGCCTCGTCTCCGTCGGCGTCGACGTGGTCGTCGAACCCTCGCAAACCGAGTGTCCCCCGGATAGAGGGACTCGCGTAGATTTCGCTTTCACACCCGGGATTATAAACCATTAATTCTGACATCGAGTCGGGGGCCGAATAACGAGGAGCTAGCGGGCGTAATGCAATATATACCCCCTTGACCATACTGAATTTTCTATTAGTTCCGTGGAAAACACTTTCCGCCGTATTTTCACGAATCTCCAGGGGTGAAAGCAGCTTTTTACGAGCCATTAAGTTCGCCTTTTATTCGATACGCTTATCGGCCCACGTATATATACATATATATGTATTAGCGTTTATGACCGTCGGGATATTTTTCTTTTTTTTCATTCCTTGCCTCTGCGATGCCTCTGCTTCGTTCCTGCCATCCGACCATCGAAAGCTCGCGGGCAATTTAGTAAATTGACGCGACCCGTCTGTTTGCAGAGCCGATGAGGCACGTGAAAGCGGAGCACTTGCAGCACGACAAGGACCTCGACGAGGAGGACGACCTGGATCTCGAGGAGGATCCGCGACGAGGAGAGCATCCCTTTCACCACGCGATGCAGCACCACCACCATCATCACCAAGGATACACAGGGGAGGACCACCTGAAAGACGAGGGCATCAAGTCTGACTGTAGCGCGGCCGGGGTACCCATACCCGCGACAAAACCTAAAATCTGGTCCCTAGCGGACACGGCAGCCTGCAAAACACCGCCGCCACCCTCGCATCCCCACCATCAACAGTACCACCACCTCCATCATCAACAGCATTACGCTCAACAGCAACAGCAACAACAACAACAGCAGCATCACTTGACCAATCAAGGCCATCATCATCATTCCCAACAACCTTGGCTCGGTTCCGGTGGCGGAGGCGGTACCGCTGGCGGTGGCGGCGGTGGTGGTGGTGGAAATTTGAGCTCGTTCGCGTTGCCCTCGTCGGCGTCGATGAGTCCCTCCGCAGCGGCAACTGCACCGTATTCAAGCGCTGCCACGAGGTACGGTGGTTTTCTCTCCTCCTCGTCCGGAGGTCAGCTCCATTACAACCCCAACTCCTCTTCCGGCTCGAGCTCGAGCGCGTCCTCGTCAGCGGCGGCGGGGTTTCCCGAGGTTGGTACGGACACTCCACCCCAGACACCGCCCAACATGAAGGTGGCTACACCGAATGGAGTGATCCAGGCACCACCGGGCGGTTATTGCACTGGTGGCAACGGCAACGCCACTAGCAACGGTAATCCAAATCCGTACGGGGCCAGTCATCCGGCCGCCGGTTATCTCTCGACCAGTTCCGGCTCGGCCAGCAGCGCTTCCTCCTTCAGCTCCAGGCTACAAGCGTCACCGCACAAAGACTTCTCGCCGGCGGCACAGAATTCCATTCTTCATCAGCATCAAACCACTGCCAGTTTACCACCCACGGAGGCAACGACTGCCTTCAAACCGTTCTACAAGGGGTAGGTGGAAAATCATCCACCGTTAAAACAAAACTAGTATACCGGTGTTTCGAAGACGAGCGTAATATTTGATATGGCGGCTTTCAGATCGCAATCAATGGGCAGCGGATTCGTGTCACCGGTCTAAGCCAAGCTGGATCGACGTTGGATCAACGACGCGTACCTCGAGGTGAGTGAAATCATCGATTCGATCTTTCACGCTTTTATTCTCGTGGTTCGTTCGTACACGACGAACCGAATCTGTTTTATTCTCGACGCACGACTCCTGTTAAGCGGATAGAAGAATTTCAATGTTCCTCGCGCGTACTCGATGACGAATCGTAATCACAGCAACGATGTTGACTCTGTACGGTCGTAATTCATTCGACGATGGGGAAAAAGGAAGGAAGGGAGAAGCGAGGGAGGAAGGTTGTCGGACAGGAGAGTACACGAGCGGGTAATCGGTTTGCAAATCGATGGAATGGCGTGTTCGACCTGGATCGCGGCTGGCAGGGAGGCGCGCGAATGCGGCTCGGGGAAATCGATAAGAAATTAATATCCGACACGTCGATTGGTCGTTAGGGCTGGGCTAGCGTTGAAATAATAATGGCATTGAGTATCGAGTAGTAACTTGTGGCCGGCAAGTGTAGCGGGAGCGAGAGAAGCACCGGTGAGAAGAGAAAGAAAAGGGGAGAGAAGAGAGGCTATCGCCACCTCCTTGACAGTGACAAATGGACGGAGATTTCAATCGGTGAATGGAATCACCACTGGCTGTGGCCAGCTCTTTCTCTCGCACACGGCCCGCTACGTTATGGGCGAACTCACCTCGGTGTCTTGCACTCTCTCTCTGCCTCTGCCTCTCTCTCTGTCTATCTTCCAACACACGGTACACTGGCACACCTGAACCTGTCGCATCGCTGACTGAGCGGTCCACTTGTGCGTACACTCCTCTCACAAATGGGATGTTCTCGGGACACATCGGGTTCGAATTAACGGTGGAACGACGAGAACCAACTTCGAGACCGTGAAACACGATAACAAAACGTCTACGGGTTCCTGCTTTTCCGGCTTTGCTTCCACCGTGGTCTCGTTTCATTCTTGTTAATATTCCAGTTTGCAAGGAAATTACTGGACGCGTTGATCAATTAATTTTGGTTTATCAAATTTCGATAGAATTCTAGACAGTTTGAAATGTGGTTCGATCGTTGAATCGTCGAAATTTCATTCCATTCACGAGATTGAGCGAAGAAAGAGAAAGGAAGGGAGGTCGAAACGGTTCTTTCCTCGATTTCCTACAAACGATTCACCGGATTCGTCTCCAGAACTTTCTTACTCCGATTCTTCTGGTCGCGCATCTCGAAGATATCGCGCCACTCATGGTTATCTGATTCCCTCGATGTTGTAAACAAGCTGAGACCAGGTTTTTTTTCTTTTTTTAGAAAAATCACGTCATTATAGATCCGAATCTCACAGCTCGATAAGGACAATCAATTACCGTACCTGTTGAAACATTTATCCGATCGTTTATCAATGTTTTAATAATCCCGTCACGTCGACACTTTATTCCCTACTCGATCGATCCTCTAAGTATACCAATTAACGTCAGATCGATCGTTTCGTTGGTAAGCAGCAAGTTTCCCGAATTATTCAGCTAGACGGAGGTGTCGAAGCGCCAAACGAGAGGTACGTGGCTTGGAAATCAGCTGGAGCGAGGCGAAGTGTAACGAAAAGAGAGGACGCTGGTCGTCGTTCTCGTAGCTTGCCAGCTCTGAAAGAAGTCGGAGAGAAGAGCAGTTTCGAGGAGAGAAAAAGAGAAAGAGAGAGAGAGAGAGAGAGAGACATCGTTTCGAAGGGAACCGGGTGTTAGCCGGTACTCTTATCGCGCGGCGATCTGATCCTAATTTATAGCCGCGTCCCAAATAAACTAGTTTTCGCTGTCGTCACCTCTCGGACCCTCCTCTCGTCCGGTGTACGTGGACCGAGGGACCTTTGGGCCCTCGTGGCATGGACTCTTATAACGCTCGGAGCCTCGCATCCTCAGCAAAGTCCCTCTTGGACCATCTCGATCCATCGTCTCTCCTCTCGACCCCGCTGGTTCCTCCACCGAGCTGACTTACAGGCAGCTCAGGTATATACGTACAAGCTCTAGATCGTACGAGAGAAGTGCCTCTTGTTGCACCTACCTGCCGCACTTTTATTCTTTTTTCTCGTCTTCGAAAGAGAAGGAAAAAGAGCGAGGGATACTCTGTCGGCTGGCGTAAGAAAGACGCGAGAACAGCCTCGACTCTCGTGGCCTATAATTGCCAATTAGCGCGGGAATATTTAATTGCCATTAGGCTGGGTGGTGAACTCCCGATCTTGGTTCGGCTCTCTCTGCCTCTGACCTCGAGCCAATGCCCGTCCCTTTTTCCCCTCGCGATATTTACACGGATCTCGCCGGCATCTGCATAAAATTCGCGACCACCAAGCACCGATGGCCTCTCCGAAGACGATCTTTTTAACGGCTTCGAGATTCCGAGAGAATCGTCCAGCGTCTCGTCGATAAATCGTCGAAAGAAGCGTGATCGTCGTCGTATCTGTGCTTCGTTTCGCGAGATTTGTTCGCTCGCGAGATCTCCCGAAACGGTCGCTTCGACCGCTTTCTGTTTCTCTCCTCTCTTCGCGCGTTTCTCAAATTCCTCGGCAAAACGTCCTTCTTTGTCCTCGAGACCCATTTTTCTCCTGTATTTCTACCTATATCGCGGCTCAGCTTTATTGCGCCGGTTCCGAAGATCGTGAGATGCTGAGGGTCGAAACGGTAGCCTGGATTTACGTCGTCGTATGGCCGCTAGTCGGCTCCGTTGACGCTACCTGGGGTAACCGGAGAACTTGCTAAAACCCATCTTCTTTCATTTCGAGCAGAATCCGTGCGGACCGGACGCTCCGCTCAGGGTGCAAGGTGAACACGCTTTTAACCCTCTTACGCGCTAATGTAAGCAGGAATCTTTTCCATGAAATTCCAGCCTGGGGTGAAAGTCATTTCGAGTTTAATTGTAAAATAAAATTTATACTCGTTTTCCACGACGGAACGGGTGTCAAAGATATATTCCGTCCAGGAAATCTCTTTTTCCAACGTCGTTGTTTTTCTCGCGACTTATCAGGATAACTTCTAATTAACTCGGTTGGCCGCCAATTAATCTCGTACGATCTCGTTGGAAAATATGCCATCACCGGTCGTTAATACAGCCATCAGATCGGCCAAGTATCATAATTATACAATTAAATAACGAACACCGTGTTACCGTGGTTGTCCGCTAGTTTGTCTTATCATCGCGTTTAGATAAGATCATGCGAAAACAGACACGTCGAATAATTATTTAGAATCGCGACAAGAGAGTCGGTAATTTGGGTTCAGACCTAACGATCGTTCGACCTTTGTGTAATTTTATGCTCGTTCCCGCAGCGGGTACGCGAAGACCCACGATTAAGAAGGTGCGCGACGCGTCAGATAACGCACTGTCACGCCAATTACACAAGCCTACTCTTTTCCTCTGAAACGTAGCGTGCTTGTAGCCACGCTGACGCGGCTCGTCGATTCGAAATCCGCGCTTTATCAACGCGCTGGATCTGTCTTCTAAACTGGCGACTCGCACGTGTCGATTTCACGAGATTCTTCCCGTCGACCTTCTTCGTTCGTGAAATTACGAAGACGAGTTATCCGCGTCACACGGCCCGGAACATCTCGGCGATCGCGCGTAAATTACCCTCACCAGCAGCACGGAACGGAGGAACGCTCTTCGGGAAAGATCTTAATCCGGCTTATCCGACGAGCTGCTCTCTCGACTATCGACTCGAACTACAGACCGTGATTCGGAGACGAAAAATTTTCTCCTCTGCTTGGTATTTCCCCGGTTCGACTCGCCTACCAGTGAAACAGAAAGAGGAAAGTGGAACGATTCGATTCGTCGTTCGACGACGTGAAATTCGAGTGTCGAGAGCGGAAGATAAATCGGAAAGGAGGTTGATGAGCGTGCACGAGATTAACCGCGAACCGCGTTTCGTAACGTCACTTTTCGTGTTAGCCGTGTCGAAGATAGCGGAGAACGGATAAAACTGGTTTCCGGGTGTTCACCGAGGGGATAGTATCGAGAGCTTCGCAATTACAGGAACCGATACGGTGCTATGAGAAGAGGGATCTATCGAGTGAAATTCGTTTTTAGAAAGGCGCGCGTGAAAGCCGGGAATTTCGTGCGCTTTGTTCGGCCGCTCAGCTTACGCATAGTTTCTTGCTGGCCGATTCATGGCCGGACCCCCTGTTCATGAATATTCCCCTCGGTGGCTCGATTTTCGACACACTGTTTTCGTTTGAATAAGCGAACCCGAAGTTGCAAACTCGGCCTAGAGTCTGGCTACATCGTGTCCGGTGTCCGATGAATTTCATATAAATGAAAAATACATGGCACGTCCTTTGTGCCGCTCAACGAACTAACACGATGCCTCTTTATTGGCTAAAGAGAACATCGGGACTCGCGAACAGCCAGGTGATATCGTAACTGTTTCGAAAATACACAAAAGGTAGAGTAGGAAGAAGTAACAGCTAGCTATTTGTAGTAAAAGGAGAAAAACTGTAGAAAGTACATTGCTGGCTTGAGAAATTCCTTTATTACTCAAGAAATTTACATTCCACTTTTTTAACTCTACAAAAAGGAGCAATATTATAGGAATTTGATCGGTTAAATTCCATGCATAAAAGTAAAACAATTCTCGATGGAATGTAAGCAGTATGTAGAGCGGTAAAAAACTGGACAAGTAGATCAGTGTTGTTATTAGCCTCTCGAACCGTAATCGTGATTACGGTTGAAATCGTTTCTTCGAACGTTTCCCTGCGGTGTTCCTTACTCGGTGTAGCAAATTTCCAGGAGAATGAAGCAACCAAGGCCCATGATGGACGACGGATGGTCGAGGGATGAGATAAAAAAGTCTCGGTAACGTTGGAGGTTGAGGTGGACGAGTAAGCGTGGCGTACACCGTGTGCGGATCTCTTCGAGCGACTTGTGTCGCGTAATCGCGCGACATTTGTCATCCGGTTTCGCGTCATTTCACTGTGCACCAAGAAACGAGGTCCAACAGAGCGAAATACAGAGAGGCCGTGCCTCTCGTTTCGTTCGACCAACAGGGATGGCACTTTTGAAATATTCGCTGGACGCGAAACATCGAACAAATGACTACACAGGATCTCGTTTAACCGAACCGTTGCAGATTGAAACAACCAATCCCCCTCAGTTTGCTACACATCGATACACCGTGTATCGAGTTAATTGTTTCGTTAGGATGATTTTCGTTTTTCCAAATACCCTGATATCTTCTACGAACCATCTGCAGTAGCATTGGCAAACAGGAAACGGTACAAGCCGCGCGTCAGTCCTTGATAATTAAGAATTATAGCGGACGTCCAACTGATCACGGAGATTAATTAAGCAAAACCGGAGGCCAGAAACGGTCCACGCCAGGCGTAATAACTCGGCCCCTTCTCCTCGTTACGTAAGAATTCCACGAAAACGGGCTTCTTCTCTTTCTGGTCCCTTCGGTGAATTTGCATACGTAACGACAGGCACCCAAGTACATTCCGATCGTCGTTCCGTCGTTCGAATCCTGAAAATCACCGGCATCCGATTATCGGGTCGAATCAGAGCCGTAGCAGCTCTCCAGACGTTACGGCATTCGGGATCGTAGGTCGATCTATCGACGGGTTGCTCCCATGGGAAATTAACCGCATCCTCGAAATAACAAATAGACCGTAAAACGATTCGCGAATTTTTCGCTATTTGCGACTCGGTTAGTTACCGTAATAATTCTCTGTGAAAAGAGAAGGATTACAAGGATATAGGGTAAAGGGTAACAAAGTGACGTGTTCGATTTGAAGGTGAAAAGCATCGTGCAGCGGCAGAGGAGAAGGTAAAAGCGAGATATCGTTCGTAGCGATCTAAGTGGCTCGTATACATACACAGAACTTGTCTACCAGGTGAGACACGGTAATCGCGTATCGATACCCAGCCACGACGTATACAGCTCCGATCCACCGCAAAGGCGACGTATATAGCTGCCCGCTAATAGTTAACTATGATCTTACAAGCCGTTTACATCCGCTCGATCTAGCCGCAATCGTGAAAAGCGGTGGAACTCGCCTGGGGTACCGCAGGTAAACGTTTCGATATCCTTCCGCTCGTGGCTAGCCGCGATTCTTTGCCGACTTCCATTATTATTTATCTACAGCTCTGAAAAATGGTCCTTTTTGAAATTTCTTAAATCCATTGCAAGTTCATCGTAATAAAAAAATTTTTTTTCCCGAGTACACACCTTGTTTATTGAAATTAGTCCAGGTACTCCGTGCGAAGGAACCGTGACACGAATTGCCGATTTCCTATGAGTAACTCGCCCTAGACTAGATCGGATCTGTGACGTTGAAACCCGCGGCCATTCTGATTATAAAGCCAGATACATGGCCATGATCGTTCGTGCAGTCGCGTGATAGAGAACTGCGGTTTGCCACAATGTGTGACACATGTTCTGTGTTCTATAGCTCGTCGAGTTACTCTCTTGTTCGAGTACTCGATTCTCGAGCACATCGAACGGGCTAATTTTCTAATGAAACGGTACCGAATGTTTCCTCGAAAGTTTCCTATCGAATAAGGGTTGCTTACGGGGTACGTAGAGTCGATGCAATTTGGTGGCGACGTAATCGACCTTGTAACAGTCCGATTACGAGTTTACGAACGACATTTTCGCGAGTCTTGTAGCCAGTAGAACAGTTGGTCGTTTAATTGCTGGACGCTATCGTCGTGGTTATCGGACTTGCCTAATCGTCGGGATCAGAGGAGCATTTTAGAGGCTGACCCTAATCTCGCGATAAATACTAGACGTTTCCTAGAGAGAAAACTAGGAAAGCGCGATCCAGCTAAGACCATATTTGTCTGTGTGTTGCAGGATCAAGCGACGGGCTGGCAGAGGACGCAAGGGCCCACGACCGGACTGTAAATACGTTCTGCTGAGAGGTCCTGGGATTTATTAGCGTTCGTCTCTCGGCCTCGAGCAGTAGAAAAGAATCAGGAAGAAGGAAACGACGTGGCAGAGGGGAATGAAAAACTGTGTAGGCTCTTGATGCAAAGAAGGGAAGCTAACGGTTCGTCCTTGAGATACATAAATCGTGTCCCATTGGATCGTCGCGCAAGGTGTGCGACTACGAAAGACGAATGGGGATGGTTGACTCGTGAGTCGAGCAGCCGGCGGCTTAGAGAAGATTTAGGAATTAGGGGAATTACGTGGAAGTGGTTGCTTACGCACGAGTACGTAAGGAGAGGAAGAAGAAACTGGTTGGATAGATAGTAGATTTCCAGAGAGGACGTGCACCGAATTACGCGTCTCTCGCGTCTAGGAATGCGAGAAGAAGCGTCATCCTTTTCGACATCCACAGAGTCCTTTAGTCCTTTAGTCCGTGTTTTTTTTTTTTCTTTTTTTTTCTCTCTTTCGTATTCGATCGATTTTAAAAAACATGCTCGCGATTTTCCCGCGTTTCAAACGATCCAGGATCATCCTTAGTCAAGATTTCACCGTCGATCGTGTTCCAAAACCGGTCCTTTCGATTCTGTAAATAAAACGGCGTGATTCCACGACGATTTGGAAAGGTAAGCTTAACCGGTAACACGCTCGAGAATCGATTTCTATACACTGCGCCCTACTATTTCATTATGGTCAATCAATATTTTGTACAAATTTTAATTTTAGAAGAGGAATCTTTAATATTTTGTAGAATTTCTTTGACTATCGATACCGTTAGACCCTTATTAAATCCTTTTTCAGTTAAATCGGGGATGTCCATAATGAAGTGATAAGGTATTGTTGTAATTTATGTGGAGGAAAGAACGAGTTCGATTTCAGGACACCCTGCTGGTTGTTCTTTATCCAATCGTTCACTGAACGTCGCGGGTCTGTTTAGATCCTTCCGAGGATCGAGAACCTCGCGATTCACGGGCAACGTGCAAAGTAACAGCCTTTGAATCGATCTAGGACATGATTTTAGCTCGAGTTACCACGAGGAAGAGAAGAATAAAGAACGAACGAGACCCCCTTTTTACCACGTTCGCGTGACTCTTGCTTTTCTGTCCGTAGATCAGAGTTCAAATGGCGAAGGAAGTTGGCGAACAGCTATAACTATCCTTAAACTACCATTGACTCTTTAATTATGAAGTATTCTCGTGCAAGATGCACGAATCGCACGCGTGTTCAAAGAATCGCAGAGCAGAAACAAATGGAGAACCTTCGAGACTGGAGAAGGAGAACGCGTGTTAGTAGCTGTAAAACACTAATTAAGAGTAAAAAATTCGTCCTTTTTCGCGCGGGCACCGTGCACTCGTGATCCTTCCGGTTTCCTGGCTCGCGAGAGGATCCGACGATGCGACACACGCGATCTACTCGCAATTTCTTTTTTAATTAGCATCGTACTTTTATTTCGAACCGTCTCTGTGCAATATATTTTTCTTTAGATGTACGTTGATCGTGATCGCGTTGGAATTGGAGGATTTTTATGGTCATTGGCGTAACTAGGTGAGAAATAGGATGGACCGACTTATTTTTTTTTTTTTTTTAATTTATCTGAGTATCTAAATTTTTGAAAACCTAATTACGCCATTGATGATGGTAATCGCCAGGACGAAGATCGAGATGATAACGGTGAACGAGGTGCACGGTGCTCGAGATTGTTGATATTTTTTTATATTATATGTGTAACGTATAAAATCATCCCTCCTTTCGAGTACAGTTTCGATGATTGCGAGTGGTGGAATCGAAAGCACGGGAGCGAGTGATCGTCCAGGAAGTGAGAGTGTATGAGAGAAAGAGAGAGAATGCAGGATGTGGAGAGAACGAGCAGAGAGATGGAAGAAGGAAGGAGAGACGACTAAACGAGGTAAAGACAAAAAGAAATTGACTATCATTTTGTACTTTGACATAAGCGAGTGTACGCGTGCATGTTACCGTCGAAGGGAAGAGGGATTCAAAGAAAGTAGTCTGATAAAAAAGGTAAATTGAAAAAGAATGGCATCGATGGTGGTGGTATGGGGTCGAGGGTGAGAAAGGGAACGAAAGGAGAAATATTGTACATTGTTTTGTAAAGAGTACATTTATTTATATCTGTGATAATGGGCGAGGTTAAAAGGGAATTGAAAGGGAAAGAAAGTGAAAGATTGAAAGAGAGTGAGAGAGAGAAAGGTAGAGTGAAAAAATATACATATACATGAAAAAAAAACAAAAAAAAACTGAAAGAACATTCACGGTGTCGGGGTGTACTTCGATGGAGACGATCGGTGCTCGTTGACACGTATATCGTATAGAATAATTAGAGACTCGAGAGCATGGTTTTGTAAATAATCGAAATGTAGCCAGGGGAATACGAGGGTCGATTGTATCTTTCGTGCGAATCGTCGTGTTGATGTAAAAGAAAAAATAAAGGCTAGAAGGGGATGAAAGGAGAGGGAGAAAAAAAGAACATACATGTACGCGTTTCGTGTGTGCACGGTCGCACCCTCGGTGAAGAAAAAGAGAGAGAGAGAGAGAGAGAGAGAACTATCCGTTGTGAATATATATGATACAGGTACTAGATATATATAGATATATATAAATATATAAATATATTATACATATTACGATAAATAGGTTCTATTTGGTTGTTCGTACGAATTCGATTGTAAATTAATTAAACTGTACATAGTTCTGAATGTGAATATAGACAGAATATATCTATTATTATTATTATTATTATTATTATCATATTAATTTTATTATTATTATTATCAATATCATATGATTATTATTATATTATTATTATTGTCTACTACCATTATGAATCCATTATATTAAAAAGGAGACTATTATGTTGTACCTTTTCAATTTTTATTTTATGTTTCTTTTACGAACCTCTATGATCCCGGAATATATTTTCGTCTCCCTCTTTTATGAGTTAAGACATTATACAGGGTGGTTCGAAAAGAAATCGAAACACCCTGTAAAATACAGAAAAAGTTCAACATATACGATATAATGATAGAAGACATTTAATGAGTTCATTTTTGAAAGCGATCGGGACGATTATTTACGGATTAACGGTGTTATTTCGAGTCGAACGGATACGTAGACATTCCACAATGGGTACGTTTCCGTTTTTGAATACTCAAACAATGGTATTTTCATGGTGGGCGGAGTTCCAACAAAAATACGCGGTCGAAGGTAGGACAATGGCTCGTGAATCCCTAGTTGGAGAGGAATGTTCGGCTATGTGTTTTTCAAAATAGAAATACCCCATGGGTGTAAAGTTAACGAAAATTCCAAGGTATTACCTTCTTTCTTAGTCTGTTGGTACAAACAATAGATAAGTGGCTGTTAAATATTTGCGGTGGCTTTTGCACGATTCTCTGGACGTTTTGTACACGGATATGCGGGAGATAAGATAGTCGCTCGAGTTTATCTGAGGTTTCCGAGATTTTCGTACACTTTCTCCTTCGTGTGACACTACAGTGAACCGCGATACGATAGGTTGACATTATTGCTCTATCTTCTCTTCTTTCGAACTCTTGTCGAAGTCAATCCGAAAGTTTCTCTGATGTGCCATTTTTGCCGAATTATCGCGAAAATCGTGCGTTCGTACCAAGCTAATTTCCCGTCAGTTTATCGGACGAAAGAAAATCAACGATAGCGGCCGGTGTTTCGTATATTTTTTACGAGCGTTTCATGTTGCTTCACGCTCGGTCGCTTTGATCGCCCACGGCATTATTTACAGATCGGATTTATGCGCGAAAACTTCCCACGAAGATTCAAGGTTCGCCGCTCGTGACGTATAAATCAGCCTGGATGCTTGTCGCGCTTGTCGTACGGAGAAAGCTCTCCTTCGAACCGAGGCATTCTTTTTTTTTTTTTTTCTTAACGATTTATGCTGCGTTGAGTACGAAACGATTGGGATTCTGCGCGAACAAACGACGTTTCGTGTTTTCCTTGTTAAACGTCAAAATCATTCGATTAGGGATAATGAGGTACACTGTGTTAGATGACGCGTCGATGCTGGAAGTTGTCTAGCCGGAGACAGTGTAATTTTACAAAAATTAGAACCAAAGTCAGAGTAGAAAAAGGAAGTTGAAAAAAAGTTGAAGCAACAAGTTAGCATCCTCCTTCAAAACATGACCCTAAGATATTCTCAAGAACAGCAATAAAAGTCGTTCTCCGATCCGCCACCTACATCGGAGGTTATAAGTCCGTTCTATTGCCGCGTCCTAAACCCTAACAATCGTAAATTGGGTAACAAAGGACGGCAAAGGCGGCGACAATCCGCCTAAGACAAAGGGCTTAGCTTCCACCCTGTGGTGTCGGCCAGACCCACTATAAAGTCATAACCTTCCAGTCCCTTTTTTTTTTTTCTCTCTCTCAGCTCGAGAAAACGCTCCGTTTCTCGCGCGGCAGTGGTGCCCTCTAAGTTAGCCGGTACTCCGAGGGGCAGATGCGAACTCGATGGTTTACAAGAGCCATGCCAGAGAACGGAACCGAGGCCCTTATATCATTTCCAAAGAAATATGAGATCTCGCAGCCGGCTGTTTGAACGTGTCGCGAGGCTCCGCGGGTGCGCGGAAACCTTTCGCACCGTGTGCGCCGCCGCGGTTAACCGTTTCGATACAACCAACCACCGACCGGCTGCTTTCGTTCTTTCTACCCTCGTCCCTTTCGCTTCCTCTCGATGAATATGCACGCGCTCCAAGGGAAACAGCTCGACGTATTGCGATGATTTAACGCGTGCGCCGCGCGTGTCTGAGAAATAATCGCGGAATACGAGAGGGACGAGGTGCTTTAACTCGACCGAGTGGGAGCAACAGCTGCTATTTGTCTCGTTTTAAAACCTTTTAATTGCAAGACTGATGCGATTCGATGTTGTAACACGGGAGTTTCCTGCGAGGACATTGACAATAAAAAATTAATTATTATTGATTTATTTGAAAGAAAGAAATTTTCAAGGTTGGTACAGCAGGTCGCGTAGAGGATGGCTAACAATATTAATAATAGGAATAAGAACGAGGAGCATATCGATAACCCCGTGCAGAGCGGTCGAACATTACCATAAATTTGAATGTCCACGCGTTCTTCTACGTCTGCCTTTCTCTCTCGATTTCTGGCCCTCCGTCGTTCTGAGCATCGTCTTCTTTCTTCGCGCAGGCTCACCTTGCTCGTGGGCCAGCCGTCTGCCCGCGACTGCAACCCCTTTTACGGCTTACTTTATGGCAAAGACTCAATTTGGCCTCGGCAGTTGGTGCCCGTTCCCGGTGACTAATATACCGGGATGCACCGCGTGGGGTGCAGCCGTGATGCATCGTTCGCGGTGCTCCACCTATGCATCTCTTCTCCCCCTCTCTCTCTCCTCCAATGGGAGATGCTGCCCTTCAGCAATGACCATTGCTCGGTTACCAACACCTCGAACCTTCTTGTACCAGAATTCGCCTGACCTCCATCTGTAGGTCAGTTCTTTTGCTACTTCGCTGATTTCAATGTTCGAGAAATATGCGTTGAAACTACTTGTCGGTAAATTGAATCGTTGGAGGGGAACGGTGGTGAAAGATTAGAGCTTTTATTAATAGACGTAGCAATCGAGTGATAGTATCTGATCGTAAGTGTCTGGCTTCGTTAGAATAGATCGTTGTAGAGATAGTGCAGACAGTGTATTTGACCGATTCTCAAAATAAATCCTGCAGATCTAAGCTTGTCGTTTAGGTACTTAGAAAATCTGAAATCTGGCGGGTCGTACGATTCGCTCGAAATTTTCCGCCTCGTAAATCTTATCTGTCTCGATGGTTGCGTTTTATTTTCATGCTTCGAGGCGAGCCAGCATTCACGGGCGCACGCAGCTCGCGAAGACCTCGAAGAGCAGCTCGTCTTCCTCGCCGTGGGACATCGGTCCGCGCTAACTTACGCCGGATTACCGACACTATTTCATCGCAGCGCGGACACCCCTCGGGCTCGGCCACCATTTTCTTCCTCGGCACTCGCTTCACCTTTTTCTCTTTCCTCCTCTGTACAAGTGTACACCTTCGCTGCCAGTTCTTCTCTTATAAATGATATCTTTTCGAGCATCTATTTTCCAAATCCACCAACTGTTCATACGTTTCATAGACTCGTCGATAAATGAAATGTTTCCGACGACGGCATTTGTCAATATAACAATATTATTCTGTTCGTTTCAAAAGGCCTTTCCGTTCGCGTTCAACGAGAAAGCAAAGACTGATAGATCGATCGCTTCTTTTTCTTTCAACGACAATCTATTCGCTATTACCCGTTCGACGTAGTGTGCACCGGGGTACCGACGTCCGATTCGATCCGATTCGCACCAGTGCGCAACTAGCTCTGCGATACAATGTCTGATCCGATCTGATCCGATCCAATCCGATCAAATCCGGCCCGATTCGAACCAGTGCGCGACTCGCTTCGATCACGCGCACCTTTTGCATACTTGCCTTAACAGATTTTTGACTACCATACGTTCCAGCTGTTATTCGAACGCGAACTTATTCGCTTTTTAAAACGATGCTTACGAATTTTCCAAACAACTCTATTGCAGATTATCGAGAAGAACCACAAAATTTCCATAAGTTACACGAAAAAGTGTGCGCCGAAACCGGTCGAAAAGTTGGCGGCGCGGGCTGGGATGGAGTTATCGAGGAAGAGAGAATCGTCACGATCGGGAGGACACCCCCGACGGCGAAACGTTGTCTAGGAGTTGCTTTGAATGAATGAAGAGAGCCGAGAGAGCAGCGGGTGTACGGAGGAGGTCGAGTCAGTTCACGCTGCGCTGGAATGCCAAGTTCCATTTAGGTAGGTGGTTCTCTGTTTCACGACACTGCTGTCGTATTCGACTCTGGTTCGAGTTCCGAATCATTTCCGAATTTAAAGTAAGAAAAAAAGGGAATCCTAAAGCATCGAGTTGAATTTGCAAAAGAAATCGTTCTACTTAATAGGATGACAATAATTCAAGGAACAGAATAATCGAGAGTACAAAATGGTAGGCAGATAAGGAATAAAGAGGGTGGAAGGAAGAGTGGTCGTGGAACAGGCAAGAAACGGTGCTGGTACGCTCGCACACTTATCTGGCAGTAAAGATGTTTACAGCGCAGTCTGCGCCGCCACTATCACTATCAGCCCAAAAGAACGGACCACTCTAATTGATTTGTGGCTGGGCCGTTATCGGCGCTCGTAACTTAAATTAAATTACACGGTCAGTTCGTCCGCG